TCTCTCTCTCCTTTTCACTTCCATTATCATTCACCTCTCCTTCTCCAGCCGCAGACGTACGTCCTCCCTCCACCGAGTCTCGCGGGACACTGGCGGGGGCGGCGTCTCGTGGGGGTAACAGCGGGTCATCGGTCGTCTTAATGGCATTGTTTGGGTCGATGGTCGTTTCTGCCAGCTCGTTCGGCACGACTCGTTACTTATGCCTGCTGCCTTGCGTTTGTCTGTGTCTGTCTCTACGTTTGTGTGTGTCTGTCTGTCTGTTCTTTGCGTTTGTGATTGTCTGTCTGAGTTTGTTGGGTGTCTGTTTGTATCTGTTGTTTGTTCTGTGTGTGTGACTGTCTCTGCGTTTGTGTGTCTGTCTCTGTGTTGTCTGTCTGTCTACGTTTCTCTGTCTGCCTGTTGTTCCTGCGTTTGTCTGCCTCTGTGTCACTACGCTTGTCTACCTGTCTGTCTATACTTTTGTCTCTCTCCTGTCTGTCGCTACGTTGTCTGTTTGTCTGTCTGACTGACAGAGGTCGCTTTTTTCCCATGTCTTTGTCTCGCTCTCTCTTCCTTCATGTCTGTTTACCTGTTTGCCCCCTCCCCTCTCTCTCTCTTGTTTCTCTCTCCTTTCCACCTCTTTGTTTCTCTCTCTCTTCCCCCTCCCCTCTCTCTCTGTTTCTCTCCCTCCCCCCTCCCTCCCCCTTCTCTCTCTTTCTTTGCTTATCTGTCTCTCTCGTTCTATATAGTAAAAACTGTGGATATATATATGTAATATATATATATATATATATTTTATTTTTTTATTATTATTTTTTTTCATGTTTTCGCTTCTATCTTTGTCGTGTTTTTTTTTTTTTTTTTCATTTCTCTCCTCCCTTTCTCAGTTTTGTTTTTCTTCCTATACTTTCTCTTCCACCTTTTAATTATGTTTTTTCTCCGTTTTCTCGTCTTCCTTTCCCCCCTTTCTCGTCTTCCGTCTCTCACTCATTCACTTTCCTCAGTTTCTCTGTATCTTTTTCTTTTTCTTTCTCTTTTCTTTTCTCCTTTCTTCATTTCTTCTTCTTTTTTGCCTCCTTTCTTTCTTTCTTTCTTTCCACCCCCTCTCTCTTCTTCTCTCTCTTCCCTCCCACTCTCTCTTCCTCTTCTCCTTCCTCACCCTCTCCTTCTCTCTCTCCTCCCTCCACCCTATCTCTCTTCCTCTCTTCCTTCTCCCCTCTTCTCTTCTTCTCTCTCCTCTTTCTTTTTTTTTTCAACTCTCTTCCTCTTACACTTAATTTTTTTTCCACAATGCAAAAATAGACACACAACTAGAAAAAAAAAAGTGTACAGTGAATCATCATCAATAATGTAATGAATAATAATATAATAATAATAATAATAATAATAATAATAATAATAATAATGTTAATAATATAAAGCCTTTTGTGCTAATGATGCAATTAGTATTTTCTAAAATCTGATTTTTCTTGTAGCATTGTGTGTACCCGTCATTATATGTTAATTAAATTAATCTTATTTCTTTCCATGTACTTTATCAATTTGCTCTCTCGTTGTATTTCATTAATGTAATTGCGTGTTTTATTCGTGTTATCTAAAAAGATAAGATTGTAAGAATATGTGTATTTGAATTCTTACATTCTTGTGTATTAAATTCTTAAAAGTTATCCTTAACATCTTACTTCTTATGTCCATTTGAATATATTCCTTAAAAATCTAACATATAACCCAGATATATCCCTTATATCTAATATATTTTCTACCCAATCATATATATCCCTTCGATTATACATATCTTTAAGCCCAATTAAATATATCACTTAAATTAAACATATCTCTGAACCCAATCAAATATTTCTCTTAATTATACACACATCTACCTCATTAAATACATTTCCTAAATATACATATAAATTAATGTTATACTAGTTACCTTTTTTTTTTTTTTTTTTTTTTTTTTTTTTTTTTTTTTTTTTTTTTTTTTTTTTTTTTTTTTTTTAACCCAAGCATACCTACCTTTATTATCACACCTCGTTAAAGTACTAACACGTTCTACTCACCATCACACGTGTCAGAGTTGGCAAATTAGGGACGATTCGACAAAAAAAAAAAAAAAAAAAAAAAAAAAAAAAAATGGAGATGGATTTCGTTTTAGAGAACTGAGCCAATTATGGTGAATAGGTTGCATTTATGTATGTGGTACACGAGTACGCGCTTAAACATATGAACACTTTTCGTATAATATATTATATATGTGTGTGTGTGTGCGTGTGTGTGTGTGTGTGTGTGTGTGTGTGTGTGTGTGTGTGTGTGTGTGTTTGTCGAATTTTTTTTATTTGACATTTAAGTTATATTATGTTTTGTCAAGCACATCTTTACGTTGGACCGTGGAGCGATGTTGCCAAATCACTCCTATGTTACGACTTTTAATTTAAATGTAGTAAAATTCAGTGTTTAACAGCTTGTCGAGAAATTGTTAATATTGCTTTTTGTTGCTATGATTGCTGGATGGAATACCTTTTATATGGAGAGAAGATAGTATTCGGGAATGAGATCTCCAACCCTGCCTCCTTGTCCAGCGCGCGCGGGCTTTCCTAACAAACAGGTGGGTGGAAGATCGACCATTTTCTGGCCATAATTCGTAGAAGTTCCATAATTAGGATGGGCGTAATATCTCCAAGTCCGGGATGGGCGTAATATCTCCATAGTCGGGATGGCGTAATATCAGATTAAGTAGGAGAATCCCCATAGATTGTCGTAGAGTCCTCCAAGTGGTGTGGACTTTCCTTGGCGACAGATCGTGGCCCAGGAAAGGTAAGTTGGCAGTCGAGACTTATTGTTGATGTCATTCACTATTCACTACTTCGTATTTTTCACTACGTATTTCTCTTCGATATTCGCTACTTCGTATCTCTTAGTTGAAAGTCTAGTAGTCTCATCACCGTTGCCAACACCTCTTCAAGCACGACTGCCATGACCTTAATTACTTTTTTGACATGACCGCTTTTATTGATGTTATTTTATTATTTTTATTATGTTATCCTTGCCACCACCAATGCAAATACATATTCAGATTATCCTCTAACCTTTATAACACTAACAGGAAACAATAAAGACAATCCTAAACCATTCATGTTTTTTATCAATATATTTTTTTTATCCCACTACCATGATGCGTCCCAATGGATAGTGCATCACAGAACCATAACTATCAGCCATATCCAATATTATAATCTTATTCAAATAGTTGGGATACCATAACTTAAATCTTAAGAATAAAGAGGTAAAAAAAAGGAATATCCTCGACTACTAAATTAAATTCCAAGGTTTCACTCTACTCCCTCCCTCTCCCTAATAATGATAAATCAATAATAATAGTAATAATAATGATAATAATAAAGATCCTATAATAACAACAAAACTGAGACAGAATCGAGACACTGATTTCCACTCGCTCGCAATTTCCGTCGTTACCGTGGACGAAAAAGTGATCAATCCTCCCCTTCTACCGGGGAGATAGATGGATAAAATTTACGAACGAAAAAAAAAAAAAAAAAAAAAAAAAAAGAGAGAGAGAGACAAAAACACCTGAGATGCTAATAGGGAAAAAAAAGAGACAAACCATTGCGTGGAAAAAAGAAATTGAAAGCGTAATTATTTGCAGTGTATGTCGAAGAAGACCTATAATAACCTTTCTCTCGCTCATATCACTTTAGTCTCATTACAACAAGCTCAACCTATTCCTCAACATACACAGACCTGTCACCTTCCCCCCCCCCCCCACCCCCCATTCCGATAAAATGTCCACGATCAGAAATAAATAAGATAAATTGGGAGAGCGCAAACATGGCGTGAGTTGACTTCGACAAAGAATAAAGAAAGAAAGAAAGAGAAAGGGAGTAGAAAGAAAGAGAGAGAGGGAGTAGAGAGAAAGAAAGAGAGAGGGAGAGAAGAAAAGAGAGAGAGGGAGTGTAGGGAGAAAGAAAAGAGAGAGAGAGAAGAAAGAAGAGAGAGAGAGAGAAGAAAGAAAGAGAGAGAGAAGAAAGAGAGAGGGGAAGAAAGAAAGAGAGAGAGGGAGAAGAAAGAAAGAGAGAGAGGGAGAAGAAAAAAAGAGAGAGAGGGAGTAGAAAGAAAGAGAGAGAGGGAGAAGAAAGAAAAGAGAGAGAGGGAGAAGAAAGAGAGAGAGAGAGAAGAAAGAAAAGAGAGAGAAGGAGAAGAAAGAAAGGAGAAGAGGAGAAGAAAGAAAGAGAGAGAGGGAGTAGAAAGAAAGAGAGAGAGGGAGAGAAGAAAGAAAAGAGAGAGAGAGGGAGTAGAAAGAAAGTCAACTTTGACTTTGATTTCCCCCAACCTGACTCAGCACCGGACGAGACCCAGGAAATCGTTTGAGGGGAAACTGATAAAAATTGTTCACTTCCCTTACTTCCTTATCCTTTGAACTGTGAAACACTTTAAGCAGATAATCCATGGATAGACATTTATTTGAACTTACTCTATTCGACGCTAATTTTTGTTATTTTGATATGTCCATGGATAGACAATTATTATAAATTACCTTCTTCGACGCTAATTTTTGTTATATTGATATGTCTCCAAAATAGAAATAGGTCAAATAAACATTGTTACAATATTGTTACAGTTATAAACATTGCACCTTTTAAATGTCGAATCAATATTGCATCTTAACGCGCGCGCACACACCACAAAACAAAACAAACAACCAAACACACACACACACACACACACACAAACAACAAACAAACAAACACACACACACACACACACACACCACACACACACACACACCACACACACACACACCACACACACCCTCTCTCTCTCTCTCTCTCTCTCTCTCTCCTCTTCTCTCTCTCTCTCTCTCTCTCTCTCTTCTCTCTCTCTCTCTCTCTCTCTCTCTCTCTCCCAGACGTATAAGCCTTATAATACCAGTACTGACGTGGGCGGACCTTCGGTAAATCCCCGACTCGAAAGGGGGTCCTGTCCCCCATGGCTCAGAATGCCAATCATGGTGGGCGAGGGCTGTGGGCGTGGTGCGGGAGGGTTTGTGTGGGTTTGAGTGTGTTGTGGGAGGGTTGTGGGCGTGCTGTGGGGGGTTGTGGGCGTGGTGCGGGAGGGTTGTGGGCGTGTGGGCGGGGAGAGTAGTGGGCGAGGTGCGGGAGAGTTGTGGGCGTGGTGCGAGAGTAGTGGGCGAGGTGCGGGAGAGTTGTGGGCGTTGGTGCGGGGCGCGTGGTGCGGGGAGGGTGTGGGCGTGGGCGGTGCGGAGAGTAGTGGCGAGGTGCGGGAGAGTTGTGGGCGTGGTGGAGGGTTTGTGGGCGTGGTGCGGGAGGAGTAGTGGGCGAGGTGCGGGAGAGTTGTGGGCGTGGTGCGGGAGGGTTGTGGGCGTGGTGCGGGAGAGTAGTGGGCGAGGTGCGGAGAGTTTGTTGGGCGTGGTGCGGGAGAGTAGTGGGCGAGGTGCGGGAAGTTGTGGGCGTGGTGCGGGAGGGTTGTGGGCGTGGTGCGGCGAGGGTTGTGGGCGTGGTGCGGGAGGTAGTGGGCGAGGTGCGGGAGAGAGGTTGTGGGCGCGTGGTGCGGGGAGGGTTGTGGGCGTGGTGCGGGAGAGTAGTGGGCGAGGTGGGCGTGGAGAGTTGTTGGGCGTGGTGCGGGAGGGTTGTGGGCGTGGTGCGGAGGTGTGGGCGTGGTGCGGGAGAGTGCTGGGCGTGGTGCGGGAGGGTTGTGGCGTGGTGGGAGAGTAGTGGGCGAGGTGCGGGGGTGGGCGTGGTCGGGAGTTGTGGGCGTGGGCGGGAGTGGTGCGTGGTGCGGGAGAGTTGTGGGCGTGGTGGGCGGCGGTGCGGGGATTGTGGGCGGGAAGGGTTGTGGGCGTGGTGCTGTGGGCGGTGCGAGAGTTGTGGGCGTGGTGCGGGAGTGGTGGGGAGTGGGGTGTGGGTGAAGAGTTGTGGTGCGTTTGTGGGGAAGTTTGTGGGCGTGTGGGAAGGGTTGTAGGCGTGGTTGATGTAGGCGTGGCGCGGGAGGTTTGTGTGTGTTGGCGTGGTGTTTCTAGGCGTGGTTCGGGAAGGTTGTGGGCGTGATTTGAAAGTACTGTGGGTATATAAAAGTGCTGTTGGAGTGATGTCAAAGTGTTATGGAATGATTTTGAAATGTGTGAGTGACGTAAAATTGTTGTAGTGAGTTTTAACGTCGTAGGAGTGCTGTAAAAGTTCTGTGGAAGAGAGAGAGAGAGGGAGAAGAGACAGAGAGGAGAGAGAGAAGAAAGAGAGAGAAACAGAGGAGAGAAAGACAGAGAGGAGAGAGGGAGAAGAAGAAAAGAGAGAGAGGGAGAAGAAAGAAAGAGAGAGAGGAGAGAAAGAAAGAGAAAGAGAGAAGAAAGAGAGAAGGGAGAAGAAAAGAAAGAGAGAGAGGGAGAAGAAAGAAAGAGAGAGAGGGAGAGAAAGAGAAGAAAGGAGAGAGAGGGAGAAGAAAAAAAAAGAGAGAGAGAAGAAGGAAAGAAAGAGAAGAAGAAAGAAAAGAGAAAGAGGGAGTAGAAGAAGAGAAAGAAGAGAGAGGGAGAAGAAAGAAAGAGAGAGGGAGAAGAAAGAAAAGAGAGAGAGGGAGAAGAAAAAGAAGAGAGAGGAGAAGAAAAGAAAGAGAGAGAGAGAAGAAAGAAAGAGAGAGGGAGAAGAAGAAAGAGAGAGGAGAAGAAAGAAAGAGAGAAGAAGAAGAAAGAGAGAGAGAGAGAAGAAAGAAAGAGAAGGAGAGAAGAAAAAAGAGAGAGAGAAGAAAGAAAGAGAGAAGAGAGAAGAGAGAGAGAGAGAGAGAGAGAGAGAGAGAGAGAGAGAGACAGAGAGAGAGAGAGAGAGAGAGAAGAAAGAAGAAGGGAGAGGTATTTCAGTGTCGTGGAAGTGATGGAAAAGTGTGGGAGTGTTGTGGGCTGAAAGACTCGCTCTCACAGGATGATAAAAATACCCAGGTTGTAATGGACGCAGCATCAT